ATGGCCTCCGCAGCTGGATGAAGATGGCATTGGGGTGATACCGACGGGTATCTCCCATGGCCTCCAGCTACGCGCGCCGAGGGGCGCCTGCTTGGCCGTGAGAGGATAACACCATGGTCCATGGGTTTCTCTAGTTAAGCGACGGAAACACGTGCTCTGGAGATGGGTAACAATTGATGAGTAACAAACCAATCAAGGTCCTTGGGACGTTGCTGATTCGCACTGAGCAGCAATCAACTCGAATCAAGGCAGCGCACTGTATTCGCAGTCTGTCAACTTCATGGAGCCCGAAGCTCTACGCGAGAACAACATACATCGGCTTTGCCGATGGGTTCAACACCATGTTTGTCTGGGTATTTGTAGTGTACACTCCTGAGAGGCCTCGACGCGTTCTGACGGGCATTAAGAGGCCTCTTCAACCGTGAAACTTTGGCAAGTTAAAGATATGAAAACACTACCCTCTCAGCTCCCCTGATCTGAACCCAATTGAAAGGGTCGTTTCCGGAGAGTTGCGAAGGCTTTGGCAGGACGATTTTGCGGAAGATACAACCGAGTATCTTGGGAAGAAAATATGATATCGGCGGCTTGGGTTATCTCAAAGCACCATTGACAGCATAAGGACATTTAAATCACACATTAAATTTTAAGAACAGAAACTTTTAGATACTTAAGGCCGTAAAGGCGTTCATTTAGACTTACATAACGCCAAACACCAAGTAAATTCTTGCTCATGCTTGCACCTGGGTGTGGGTAGCGCGGGAGAAAACCTCTTGGCTTCACCATCAAAGCTCGTCTTCATTCTACAAGCAGATATTATTCCGTTTTGAACAAGCAGTCGAGACCGGGCATGGCTTATTCCCAACCTCATGCAAGGTTTTAGCCTCATGGTCCAAATCAGCAACCACTGCACGCACCATCATCATGTACGAGAAAGTCGCCAGCGGCCTCCCATCTACTTCGGAGACTTCCGAGCTCAGCCGCCATCAAGAGCCAAGCCAGCGTACGCGAGATGAGCGGCGAAGTAGATCATCCTGGCTAAGGTGCAGGCAGCCTACTTCGGCGACTAAACCGCGCTCCTCCGTCCACGGAAACGGGCTGGCAAGTGGCTCGGCCGAAAAAGGCATACACGCTTCCTGGCAGCGCAGCAAAGCTTCACCTCATCCGCATTTCGAGGCACCATAAGTGTGGAACTCCAGATCTGGCTTGCCTCAGCGTCCAGCTCTTGGGCACAAGGAAGTGGTCTCAGCCGATCGATCCGGCGCGTGCCAGACGCGGTTCCGAAGATCAGAGCCCACCACCCATCCCGACAAGTGTATCATTGTTTCCGACTAAACTCCACGGAACAAGGCGCAGAGCCAAGTAGAGCGGTGAAGCATGAAGGGCGCGTGCTGAACGGCTCGGTCAGCGGGTCGAAAAATACAGTAACGGATGGTGCGGCACATCAAGGAGGTACGTGAAAAGATTTTCAGCTAAAAGTCAACGCCACGAGGACTGGAGAAGGACAGCATAGGTAGACATTTGGCGTGTGTCTGTCGCACTGGAGAGCAGCCGAAAGCGGCAGCGATAAATGACGTCACGCGACGAGCGCGACGAGCGCGTCCCGGATTTCCTCAACGCCATGGAAATTCGTCGAGCGTACAGCTGGCACGCACTCCATACCCATCGCAGGAAAGTATCGTCGAGCCCAGGCTTTGCCTTGCGACCCGATGGCAGAAGCCAGATCGCGAGGTGATGCCACGCGACGCGGGTGCGCGCGTCATCGAGTTTGTCGAGGGGATCGTAGACGCGTATGCATGACGATTTTCGTGGATTGGAAGTTGCTTCTCGATACCGTGAAGTTGAGGAAGAGACGTCTTGACGTTGCCAGATGGTTGCGGGAGCTTGCGGGAGCGGCGCGGGCCGCTGGCTTGCTGCTAGGTTAGCGTGCCAGACAGTCCAAGGTGAGATGGCTTGACGACATAGTGACAGCGTGATGAGATTCGATGGGTGTGATGGTGTCATGCAATAGAATGTTCCTGTCGTAGTTTCAGTGGTGTGGGATGCGGCGAGCAGAGAGCGCGATGGCGAGGCGGTTGTTTTGGTGGAGGTTGGAGGATGAGCCGTGGGAGATCGCCAACGCCATCAGATTTTACTGGCTGGTCTTTCTCTGGATTTTGTCTCTCTGGCTGTTATAAGTAAGATAGGTAACTGACGCTAGTGATGTTTCTTTTGCTTCCTGGGTCTTTTATATTCTCTGAATTTTATCACGTGCAGCGTGCTGCTATTCTTGTTTCTCCTGAACTTCCGATGCGTTCTATGTGCATATATGATTCTTTCTAGGAGCACGGCGTCAAGCAGTTTGGTACCTTCCACCGTATTATTGGCGATGCCCTTTCGAGCTATGTTGAATGGCGCAGTTTTTCCGATGCCCTACCCGGAGCCTCTATTACCACTATTGCGAAGACAATGTTTGGATGCCGCGGACGACGAATGTGCCATCACCCGTAGTAAGGTCTCAAATAAATTGTGATTATAAGAAAAATACAACAGAAATCTGTAGAAGCTACGAACCAGCTATCCCAATCCCGTTGAGCCTATGACTCAATAATCCATCAAATCCGTATTTTGAGAAACAAAGATAGGAGAATCTATAGAAGCGTTATTCTCAGGAGCTGGGGGAGGCGATCCTGAGGAATCAATGCTTTTCAACAGCTCCACTATCTCTTCTTTTCGATTTTCCATTGCAAGGTCTATCGGAGAACGACCATCTGATGTCCTGGCGCGAGTATCAGCGCCGTTCTGCAACAACAATGTTACAGCTTTTTCCCGCCCGTAATCTGCAGCATAGTGGAGTGGAGTCCAATCATCCCAATCCTTTTCATCCACAGACATGCCAGAGGCGATAAAGTATTCGATGATGTCTGTATGGTCCCATCTTGCCGCTTCGTGAAGGGCTGTTAAACCAAGCTTGTCACGAAGACTGCGGTGGACGTGATGTTTTTCGACGAGTGATCGAACTATACTTAGTTGTCCATTTTCGGCTCCCACGTGTAATGCGCTTTGTCCAGTTGTGTTCTGAACTTTTGGGTTTAATTCAGAGCTGATTAAATGGGACAATTCCTCTTCCCTCCCTTCAGAAGCAGCTGTTATAAAACAGTGAACAGACCGTTTAAGGTCATTCAAAATGTGAATTATCCGTCGAAAGTCGGTTTCGTCGGGCTCGTAGTGTCCGTTGGTTGCAAGAGGAGGTTTACTCAGAAGGAAAGCCAAAATTCCGTCGGTCTTTTCAATAGCCGCAGCAATGACAAGAGTGTAAGGAAGTGCATCAACCTCTGTCCAGGATTCGGATATGTTGAATTTCGACATCAATTTGGTCTGGACAGATTGTGGAGATGAAAGGAGGTCATTTGCACACCGCTGCCGGCAAACTTCCAGGACTTTTTCTTTCTTGAAGATTGCCTCCAAGACTGGTGTGCAGTTACATTGAATTGCCATCTTGAGTGCCGCGGCATCTCTTGCAAAGACATCGGCGCCATTATCAAGTAATAGTTGAACTATGTCCTCATCACCTCCTACACGAATGGCGCATACGAGAGCAGTGCTGAGCCAACCGTGGTGTTCCGCATTAATGTCGGCGCCCCTGTCCAAGAGGGTCTGAAGGATCCGTTTATTGCGACTTACAACAGCAGCCTGGAGAGCATTGCCGTAATATCCGACCGGAGCGTTAACATCTGCGCCTCTATCTAGGAGGGTTTGGAAGATCTGCTCATGGTTTTCCGCAACAGCAGCCTGGAGAGCATTGCCGTAGTGTCCACCTCGAGCGTTAACTTCGGCACCTTCTTTTAGCAGCATTTGAACAATCTGTTTATGGCCGTAAACACAACCAACTTGAAGCGGGTACCCGTAGAAACCCCCATAACGGTTGACGTTTGCTTCTTTGCTGATAAGGAACTTTGCGATATTCTCAAACCCATTTGCCGCAGCATGATAGAGTGATGTGCTTCCGTTTTCGTCAGGCTCATCAACATCCGTACTGCGCTCCACAAGATACTGGACTGCTTCAAAGATACCGGCAGAGGCAGCTTGATGTACTGTGCTATTTGGTAGCTCCACATTCTGCCTGTGGTTCTTAAAGCTTGGGTGGTTAAACAGTTGCGTGGCAAAAATTAGTATAGCACCAGCCGCAGAAACGGGGATAATGAAGTTCTTGTTGGTGTCTGGGAAATAGATGTTTTGTTGTTCGCCCTTTAAAGATCGCAATTGTTGTACGGAGCTTGTAAAATCAGGCCCAAGACTTATGAGGTGGGTGAGCCTCTGAGTCAATTGTTGTGAGCGATCGCTGGCCTTGAGTGAATGGACATCGAAAGACTGCGCTGCGTACCATAGGAATGGAGCAGTTTCTAGCTTGTAAATGAAGTCGTATGCATCATGCGCGGGAATGTACGATGGCATAAACTGCAACTCGTTGATGCAAGAGGTTGCAAGAATTTGCTGGACGTGGGGTTGGTAGAAACATTGGAATATGCCGGATTCCGATTGAGCGGCCTTGGTAAAGAACTCTTGGACTGAATAATGAATAGGCCGAACTAATTCAACACGTGATTGGAATGAAATTTGGTACCGGGATGGTAACAAAGGTCCGTCTTCCAGCTCGATGAGGTTTGCACACGCCGAACGAATTGCTTCCCAGTTTTCCGGTTCTGGCTTTGGCTCTTTGGTATTCATACTCGCCTCGGTAACCGCGACAGCGGAACAAAACTCTCTGATTGTCAAAGGACGTTGGGCATAGAAAACCCATGCAAGGCTCCTAAGAGCGAGTTCCTTCATGGATTCGTTGGAATCTTGAATCTGTTGCCATATTTTGCGGTACGTGTTGTCTAGGCCAGAAGGGAGTTTGCCAAGTGCTTCTTTCACATATTTATCCTTTCTCCTCTCGCTGCTTTCGCACAAGTGCCGCAGCTGGAGATTTACCCACAGAAACCTAGCAGGTATTAGCAGATATTTCCGGATAATTATTTATTTTAAACTTACATTCCATCAGCTTTCTCGGTCAGAGTACTGATAATTTTCTGTACGAGCCGTTCATCTGCGACATAAAGCTTCTTTCCGTCTAGGCCGGACCGTAGACTCTGTACTTCGCTACGAACATACGCCTCGACGTCTGCAGCCACATTCTGGGCTTCGAGTTGAATTGTTGGTGCTCTAAGGTTTTCGAGTTCCAAGTTGATGTCGGATTCCCTCCTGCTTGTGACAAATATTCTTGTTTGTACCAGTGGAGTTTTGTTCAGTGCTTCTTTAATGAACCTGAAAGTTTTGGACCGCTCTTCTTTGGGGCATTCGTCGAGTGCGTCGATCAAAATAAACAATTCTTTGAAATTTTGTGCGCTCATCGAAAAATGGTGTTGATCTCCTATAGCGGAAGGAGGATCGGCATTCCGTTTTGCGTTCATAAAGGCATCCGGGATAGTTGATTTCTGACACAATTGCTTAATGAGCGACAAAACGATTTGCGCAAAGTCTTGAGAGCTGCTTTTGGTATAGTCATAATAAGCAAAACAAATTCCAACAGTCGGGTCTGGGGCATATTTTTCAAGGATGGCTTCAATCACATTCGAGGCGAGGACCGACTTTCCGGCTCCAAGTTTACCATGGCACCAAAGGAGAGAGGATATTGGCTTGTCGAGCCACTCCTGAAACTCTTGCCTTTGAAGAAACCAATCGCCTGTGCCAGGATGCCTTTTTTCGTAAACGGCCCTGTGTCTCTCTTCATGCGATGTTGATGAGATCCACTTGAGGAAGTCTTCTTTTTCTTTGCGTTGTTCCCTTTCCCTCCTCTCCTTTTCGCTCAAAGACAGAAAGTGGGCTTGGTTTGTTGTTGACGCGCTGGCAGTGTGGTCAAGCACTTGCAAGTGGTGATCCATGTTCGACCTTATGTTGCCGAATTCTTCCTCAAATGGTTCCCATAAGGACTTAAAAAAAACTGTGACGGACACAAACTTCCGCTTCTCCTCATGGAGGTCAACAAACACGCGGCGTGCGTGCCTACAAAATTCCAAGATATCACCGTATACAGCATCTAGAGCGTCGCGGATTGAAGCATTCTCTTTTGCAGACTTTGCGTATTCTGCCAGTGGGTCCAGAAAATCGCCAAACCGACAAAGCATTTCGGATAGTCTGTCGAAGAACGAAAGGAAGTTCTTGGCGAGGTCGATTATTAGTCGAATACCACCAACAACTATTGATGATATTTCTGGGCTACACCCTGTCCCAATCGAAACACCGCCAAGAAATCGGTCCAACAGAGCAAAGAACTTCTGGATGGGTCCTGTTCGTCCTCGAAAGTTTGACGTTTGTTCGTGTGCCTCGTCCAATGTTTTGATGTCGCTTAGAAGACTTGTCTCCGCGATATGTTTGCGAGCTTCAAGAAAGGCATCTTTCTCATCTTCCCGAAGCTTATCAATGTGTTTTCGGAAGGCTGCGTCGTACAACGGGTTCACATGGGAGATTGCCATTGAGCTTTGGCCTTGTGCTGGCTGCTTTGCCAATAATTCACCTCCCGGAGAACCTGGAGTTGGCGAACTGGGGCTTGGAGAACTTGAGTTTTGAGATCCTGGATTTGGAAAAGTTGGGCGTTGACCTTTTGGAGCGGGCAATGAGGTCATTGAAACGTTGATGACAGCGGGTTCGGAGTTCGTATGGGCCTGTACTTGCGATGATTGCCTTGCCTATGACCGGCTACTTTCGCTGGCATGGTCGGCGGTCGGGGTTCCAGATGGTTTTAAAGATGATGTAGTAGGGCCTTGAGACCGAGAACGGCTTCGAGAAGCCCTGGATCGGAAAAAATCCTTCACTCTGTCGCGTTTCCTCATGGTAGGAAAGAAGAAACCGCGATGGGTTGAAGGGTGAGAGTGTAAAGCTTTCTAAAATGCAGGCAAATGTCGTTTGTTGTTTCTGCGCAGGAGCAGAACTTAGTGGATTGTACAGCCAGTCATGTACGGATTACCTCGCAAGTTATGGGGCTGGATAGGCAAGGACCAGAAAAACTGTGCCGCAATACACAAGGACCCACACGAAGGCGGCAGCGGAAGGATTCCCCCGTTGTCCCGTCTCGCGTCGTTCGCTGAGCTAGGCGTTGCGGACTTTGGTGAAGGGGGAAAATCCGCAAACGAAGTGGAAGATGGGATCAGGATGGGGTGTTTGTCGGCTGCGTGAAGTCGAAGTCGCGTCGAGCTCGCGTCGCCATCGTGAGGCGTGAGCTTGACCGCCGACGTACGGCTGACCAATTGGCTTAGCGCTGACGATTACCCCGCCGCGCTTCTCACTCGACTCCACATCGTCAGGCACGACAGGATCGTTAACCTCCGCCACAGCCGCTATCATGCACAATCGAGTCCTCCATCTTTGCTGTTGGTGTGAGTCGTCCATCTCCATTGACCACGCCGTCCGCTCTCACGGCTAATTGGCCTGTTGCCCTTTCGCCGGCCGCGTTTCTGGCCCCCATCACGATCGGTTGCATAGACTGTGCCGCGACGACTCATTACCGACATCGGCGGGCCGTTCCGGTTTACTAGCACACGATGGTCTGCGGAGAGAGGTCAGAGCTCAGGCACGCTTGTGCCAACGACTGTGCTTCTCTGGACGGGCTGGTCATAGCTGTGGAGGGGACCGAGGCTTGAAGCCAAGAGGCTGCGCCGGAGTAATGCCCTGGACAGTCCTGCTCGGGGAATTCTATTGGCTGAACATGCGTCCACTGCTGTCATCCGGACAGGCAGAGTCCTATTTCTGGAGCTTCAGCATTTGCATTTCAGCTTCAAGTGAGGTCCGCGGAACCAACGATGGCAAAGAGTGGGGTCGTGGGGGCGATAGCTCTATTACTATGTCCGGATTTGGGATCGACTTCCGAACGACCTGCCCAACCGTGCAAAACGCCCAGGGGCAGCTGCAACTTTTGCTCTTCCGTCTGCTTGGCCGGACGACTTGTCGCGCCTGATTTCAGTCGTGAAGTTGGTACGGTGTATGGGTAATCCGTCCGTGTTTTCACATCGCCGCAGAAGAGCATCCTTCAAATCGTTGGCCTTGCACATTTAGGCTTCTAGCCTGTGCTTTCCGAGCTCTCCTCTCTCTGGCATGTTTAGCTCGTAGTTATCCGTCGACACAGGCCGCCAAATGATGCTTATCGTTCATTTTCTCCTGTTATTCTGGTTGCGCCATGTTACAGCAGGCAAGTCCTCTTGACCCTGGACAAACAACATCATTCTGACCGACATTGCAGCATGCTCCGGGACAACCACGATCCACGCCGCAACCCAGGCGAGTGCCTTGTCATCCTGTGCGACATGGACCGGTGACATTGCCCTCGCGACAGACATAGCCGGCGACGTCACGCTGGACGGCGTCGAAGTCATCATGGGCAACTTGAACGCGTCGAGCGCGCCCGAACTGACCTCCATCTCGGGGGAAGACCTGCGCTCGATGGATGCGCTGGTCCTCACGGATTTAAGCAGCATGACGGACATGAGTTTCCCACGCTTGACACGTGTGGAGGCACTCGCATGGTTCGGGCTGCATGCGCTGCCTCGTCTCAACTTCTCGACGCCGATAACTTCTGTATCGGTCATATCCATCGCGAACACGTCGATCACGACGGCCGAAGGGCTGGGGTTGGAAAACCTGGAGAGTGCCGGTACGATAACGATCACCACGAACGGTAATCTGCACTATTTCAGTTTGCCGCGGCTTCGTGAGATATCCGTCGGCATAGAATTCGTGGCCAATGCCGACAACTTCACGATATCTCTGCCCGTGATCTCGACCGCGGAGATGGTATGGATCGAAAACAGCGCCTCGTCGCTGTCGGTCCCGGCGCTCGAAACTGTCAACGACACTTTCCACATGTCGCACTCAGACATTGAGACGTTCTACGCGCCGAAACTGCGCGAGATCGGCACCTTGAAAATCTGGAATAATCCGGATCTGGACAACATTTCTCTTCCAAGTCTGGACTCGATTATAGACGGCATGAACTTCACGGAGAACTCGAGCTTAAAGCAGCTCGAACTTGATGCGCTTGCCACTGTCGGCAACGACTCCGCCATCACGGGCTACTTCACAGAGTAAATACCACCACACCCCACACTCCCCACTAATTTGCTAACCCCCGCCACAGCATATCCTTCCCTGCGCTCCAAAAGCTCGACGGCCACCTAAACGTCACCACCACCGCAGACTTTGATTGCGCGCCCCTAACGCATCTCGCCTCAAACGGCACCATCTCCGGTGGTCTCGACTGCGTAAACTCCTCGCGCGCCATCTCCATCACGCCGACGTCCTCATCCTCCGCATCCCCGCCCGCCGGTGCTACCCAGAACGACAACGGCAGCGCGCTCTCCACAGGCGCCAAAATCGGCATCGGCGTCGGTGTCGCTGGCGGCGCAATCGGCGTCATGTGCGTTGCGACGCTCTTGTTCATGCTGCGCCGGCACCAGCGGCGTCACGGTCCCGACGGAGAAGCTAGAGCAGCGGCGGCGGCGGCGAAGAAAGAAAAGAAAGAGCAGAAGAAGAAAGCGAAGAAGGGCGCAGGAGGGGCAGACTCGCGCCAGGAACTACAGCCAGAAGATGTGCAAGAGCTGCAACCAGATGGAGTGCAGGAGCTGGAGCCTGGGAAGGTGGTCAGTGAAGTCGAAGGCAAGGATCGGGAGATCAGCGAGATGGAGGCGCCGCGAAAAGTGCTTGAGGTGCCGGGCGAGGAGCTAGTGCCGGTGGAACTGCCGGCGGAGGAGCGCTGGGCTGAGTTGGAGGGGAGTGGGGTCGCGTCGCCGGGAGTGGAGAAGGGTGCTGGGGAGAAGATGTAGGGGAGTTGAAGGGGTCGTGTGGTGAGTTTTGGGGTGGCAGGCGGCGCTGCTCTGCTCCATTACGTTTCATTTTGACGTTAAGACTTTGTAATATTTAGCATACCCCTAACTATATAAGCGCGTCTTCTTCTTTCCGTTTATGATGATTTCTTGTTGAAAGGGACAGTGTTCGGTGGTTTGGTTTGGTGGGCTTTTCTGTGGGTTAGGCGATGTGGGATAAGGAGGGTTTGAGTGCTGGGTTTGGTTTGGAGTTCGGGAGGTGGTGGGTGTGATAGGTTGGATGGATAAGTGCGCAGTTCTGTGGTTAGTGTTCAGCTATTGGGACAAGCTGTGGTTCTTGGAATTTTGGCACTATAAAGGCTAAGTGTAGAAGGGTTGTCTTTGCTGTTAAATTATAAAATGAAGAACAGACTGATTAATTTAAGACCACGATATAGTATGACTTTAGTACCTCTAAAGCAAGTTGAGTCCCGCTAAGCTAGTATCCCTCCGCTCCCCCCTCCGCGATTATAGTAAGTGGTACACGGCGTACGGCGTACATAGTCGCACACAGTACCACCCACATCAGTACAATCTTCTAAGATATTACTAACACTAACGCTTCCCATCAGCTCCCACACAAACGGCCCGCCTGAACAGAATTTCTTTCCCCAAATGCCGACCGTCTCGAATTCTCGCTTTTAACCTACGTGACACTACAATACTTCTCTCCAGCACTACTCTCCAAACCCTTCGAAGGCATGGGACTGCGTAGCTTTACATAGCTATGCCTCACTCAGCTTACTCCACGGTGCTCGTTGTCCCTTTGGTCTTGTGTCTTTGCGCGCGCCTCGCCGCTGCTGTTGCGGGTAAGTTTGCTTAATCTCCTGTCCGTATGTACTACTACGTTACTAAAAAGCTTGCCCGGGAAGTCATTGCTACATCCCCGCCACCTCCCCAATCGCAAACCCCAAACTCAACACCAACATCACCACCACAACACCTCCACCCAACCCCTCTCCCCACAGAAACAAAACTCTGCATCGGACTCGGCGTCTCCGGCAGCGACGCCGTCGTCCTCCTACTCCTTACGCTTTTTCTAAAGTTCCGCCGCCGGCAACGGCAAGGGAAGAAAAGGAAGACGGGCTTACGGACGGGCTTGGCGGGGGAGAGTAAGCATGGGAAGGCTACTGTGTTGGAGGAGGTGTACGAGATTGGAGAAGGCGAGGTGTTGGAGCTGGAGGTGGGGGGCTTGGTTGGTAATATGCGTGCGGGGACGGGGGAAGAAAGGGAGGTCTTTGAGCTGGAGGCGGGGGAGTGGGGGGAGCGTGGAAGGGGGGGTTGTCTTAGTGAAGGTGTGTCTGATGGGGAGGTGTGTGGTGCTTATAGGGATGGGATGCGGTCAGTTTGTTGTGGACGAGGGTTGTCTGCTTCTTTTGCTGATTCGATGGAGTCGTGATTCTCTTGCTCCTATTAGAGCGACCCGGAAATTATCGTATTTGGAAGATAAGAGCAATTTTGACAATCATGAAAGTTAAGGTTATGTGCCATGAACGAACAGTTGAATAAAGTCTTAAAAGGGCTAGTTCCTTGGAGATAACAGCGTTTTAAAGTTTGGCCATTGGCTGATGCTGAATGGATAAACGAATAGAAGATAATATCGCCGTTAATGACATGTGAAGTAATGCTTCAGTGCTTAAACCATAACACCTTTCTTTAAAAACTTTCCTTTTCGATCGCTATATGCAGAAGAATGCAATGCAATGCGGAGCATAACATGAAGGCGCTTGCTCGTCCAATTAAAACCCCAGTCCCTTTATTTTTCACCGTCTGACCTAAATAATTTAAACTTGATTGGGTAGCTAAACGAAAAGTGCTGCCTTCCATTAGGCAGCAATCAATTGGTCGGAAGACCAACGTGTTCAGTTTTTCTATCCACTACTTAAACCTACCAAGGGACTTCTACACAAGCTCCTAAAGACAGTACTGTACCCCATCAACACCTCGTACCAACGGACCCACAAGGAATTGCCATGAAGAATCCGACCCCATGCCTCGACGGGCTTCCGGAGGAATTACTGGACGAGATACTATTTTACGTAGGTCTCCTGCCAGACCGCTGGTACGGCATCGACACTTACAGCATCCAACCTGTAAGCGACCTTCTACGAGTGTCAAAGAAATTCCGTCGGCTCGCCGAGACGAGACGCTACTTCGGGTATGTGTATACACAATACGATTACCCATCAAAGCTGCGAGGGTTTCTTATGACGTTGATTCAACGCCCTGACCTGGCGTTGCACATGCGAAATGTTCAGCTAGAATTGGGGAGAGACGAAATTCCATTGAGAGGGGAGAAGAAGAAGGTCAGGCTCTATAAACCACCGGCAGGAATAACCAATGTCTTCTGTGCCGCCGCACGGAAGCTGGATCTTGACATAAGCGATCACTTCTTCAAGCAGCTCCGAGAAGGGAGAGAAGAGGCCGAGGTGGCCCTCCTGGTGCACACACTCCCTAACCTTAAGAATCTGCGCATCCTTACCCAGGCGCAAAAACCAGATCTCCACAACTGGCTACGGGCAAGACCAAGACGCAAAGAGACAATCACACACACCTCAACGCTTGCAGCACCACAGCCCTTATCGCAGCTCAATCGCTTCTCCATCCGCCAAAACTCGCTCACTAGTACCTTCGCCTGCAGACTCCTCATGGACTTTCTCGCCTTCGTGCCCTCCCTCCGCACCATAACCTTCGACGCAGCCTGGCCGTTCCCAAAACTCCTCTGGTCGGTCTGTGACCGCAGTGCCGCTGTCACGCACGCCACGCTCTTCAGCAACAGCGTTCCCGCCGTAACAGTCCTGCACTTCTGCAAAGCGTGTACGGCGCTGAAGTCGTTGTACGTTGTGCGCAGAGACCCAGATCGTGGCCTTAGTGCCCTCGAAGCGGATATGGCCACGCTGAGGGAGGCACTGGCCTTGCACGCTGCGAGCTTGGAGGTCTTGCGCTTGGACGTGCTATGCAACGTGGCGCGCATTGAGGAGGGCAGGAGGCCGGTCTCGGCTATAGGAGACCTGAGGATGCTGGATTTTTTGAGGGAGTTGGAGGTCTCGGCGCAGTTGCTTGCGGGGTGGCTTGCGGGGCCAGAGCCTACACCTTCGGCGCTGGTGGATTTGTTGCCAAAGGGGCTGGAAAGGCTGCGGTTTACGAGCGATGTCAAGGGCGATGAGACGTTTGAAGGGTTTTTGGAACGGCTTGCTGAGTGTGTGGGGGAAAGGTTTCCGCGGTTGAGGAGAGTGGAGTTGCTCCCCTGGAGGGTGAAGTTTTTGTGCATTTCTAGGGAGGTAGTTGCGAAGTTGAGGCCGCGATTTAAGCGGTGGGGTGTTGAGCTGGTGGAACCGGTGGGGGATGAGATCTGGAAGCTGGCTGGCCATAAGCACGTTTGTGATTTACCGTGAGGAGGCTTGGGGTTTCTGAATACGTTAGGAGGATGAACACTTACTCTGTTCGGATCGTTTGTTGGCCGTGCTGCAGGGTATGCGAATATCACAGCCAGTTCTAGCTTTTTGGCTTTCATTATGCCAAAGACCTTTCTTTTGTTCCAAACTCTTCGCGTGATAGAGACAAAGAAACATTTCTGGAGATAAAGGCAATGTTTTGAAAAATTTCGCCTAAAATATAGCGGAAGACCAGTGAACATTTAAAGCTGTACAACAATTTGTGGAGAGCTGATCTTTCGTGGTGCAAGGAGAGAAAAGGGCAACTAACTGAAAGTGGGGGTTTACCTTTAGTTAATTGTTAGCTATTAGTATCTATTCCTTATAAAAGTTAACCACTCAAGCGCAGCTAATCTTTTGCCTTGTATCTAGCCGCTAAAGGAGTTCGATCAATCACTTAGGGAGAGAATAAGCATATGTGTTTCTTACACGAGGAAATACAATTAGAAAAGAAAAGAAAGGTGGGTAAGCAAGCGGCTTTCTTAAAGAAGGCAGTTTGTCACACGTTGGCTTATGGTAAGACACTGTTTGTGTGCGAGTATGGTGTGCTGACATAGGAAGTGTTACGTGGCATGTAGCCTGCTGCCTAGGATGTAACATATCATCGTAGGACGTTTTTTCAAATCCAGCTGCTCTAATTGCCGCACCATGGCGTAAATTTATGGTGGATATATGATGCTAAGCTCCTATTTGGGGAGAACAAATCAACCCACATGCGAAGTATGTATGCGAGAGTAGGATAAAAATGGAGGTATAAGGCTGTGGTGAGGAAAGCTAGCTCAGCCTACTGGCGTCAACGGGCTGTGATGGTCGCTTTTCAGATGCTTTCCGGATAATTGTGGTACAAATATATGTTGTGGGAGCTACAATAGCGAGCTTTCTAATATATAAAGTAAAACAATCGTTTACATGGAATTATCTGTAGTTGTAAATTGTCAGTGTTTAGCTCTATTTGTTACCACTCGCCTAAGGGAGTCTGGATCTAATTTTAAAAGGTGATTTTAAAATTCCTTTTCATATTGGTTATCCGCCTTGGTTAGACGAACAAGGATCAGTGTAGTAACCATATGTCATGTATAGGCATGTTTCCGGGATGACGACAAATTTAGGTACAGCGTTTGCTTGGTTTCTGCCTTGCACGTACTATAAAGACTTATTACCCCGGCTGGCTGTAGCTTTTGAGGAGCGGGGAATCTTCTTCAGCTTGGCCACTCTACATCTACACAATCTCTCGTCGTTACGACATCTATAAATCCTTTTTCTTGTCATCCATCTCTAACTGATGGGTCCCCACGAAGCTCACGAGTTGAGCGAAGTTCCGGAAACCGGACCCGATCTCGACCATTCCTCCTTGAGAAGCGAGGCTGTTTCCTTTCTGAATGCCCAAGAAAATGGAGCACTCAGCACAGCATCATCGAGGACATCTCCACAATTCGGTACTCTTCTCTATGAGTTAAAGGTAGAGCTTTCAATATGCGTATTGTCAATCATGGCAATGGTAGGGCTTGTCGTTCTGCTCTTGCTCCAAGATGGAAAGCCACAACGACCATGGGCTGGCTACGGCATAACACTTAACGGAGTTGTATCCGCGATTGCCACGACAATATGAATTGCCTTGATAATACCTGTCTCGTCAGCTTTGGGTCAACAAAAATGGGCCTGGTTCAAAGACTCGAAACTAAACAGGGGAAAAAATGTTCGAGCTCTGTTTGATTTCGCCCTCTACGATTAAGCAACAAGGGGCCTAATGGGGAGCTTTCAACTACTTGCTCTCACCGGTCTAAGGTACTGCAGCCCTAGATTTCATTTACATGGAGGCTTGGTAGCTGTTTAACTTAATCCGTTGATCTAATTCCGACTTAAAACACAGACACATCACGTCACTCGGCGCGGTTATCACTATACTTTCTATCTTGATGGGTCCTTTTACCCAACAAGTTCTGGACACAGAATATCAAGACGTCGAAATGTTGTCGCTGGGCCAGAATATGTCCGTGCCAAGAGCCGAACGTTATGACTCCTTCAACTATAATTTTGGTTCGGAGGATTATTACCAACCAACGCCTGAGATGAGGGCTTCTATACATTCTGCAATCTGGGCCTCCACGGTCAATGATTTGCCAGTAACCTGCCCAACGGGGAATTGACCATGGCCTTTTCAATCTTCTCTCGCAGTCTGTGGAAAGTGTGGCTCGATTGCGCCTCCGATTACCTGGAACTGCACTTTAGAAACAACCGGCAAATGTTATAGTCACTTCGAGTCAGACCACGCCAGGCTGGGCTTTTCTCCGTACGAATCCGACTATTTATTTTACTATCCAACTATGTTAAGCAACACCAGATATAGCCACCTTCACAGGAGCTATCTTACGATCTTCCAAACTATAAATTCACCTGCCTGGTATGCTTATAACCAGACAACACATCCATTAATAGAAGCCTCTGAGTGTGCCTTTTGGTACTGCATTAAAGCCTACGAGATAGCAGTACACAACGGGTTACAGCATCAACAGACAGTAGCAACATTGCATCAAGCTCTTGAAAATCACTCTACTCTATCAGAACATGAAAATTTGGTTTTTGAGCCGGACCCAGCCGTGTTTAACATCCACGATTCAAAGTACTTCAGCCTAGCGGAGCGTGCAGGAAAGCCCATAAGTACTTACCTTAAAAGAGCATTCAACGGAAGCTTCAACAGCAGTAGCGCCAGTACAGCTACCAATTATGTACTTTACTCATCTGATATAATGTCTGCTTTACGAGAACAAACCAACATCTCGAAAGTGGTATCTAATGTAGCACTAAGCATGACCAACCATATCAGGACAGCTTCCCCCATAAGCAGCTTAAACGACAGCAAGAACAATGATGGTCAACCGTCTTTTAAGCCTATTTACGGAGCACCTAATACGCCGGACAATCACCGGTACAATGGGAAAGCATACTCATCAGAACCTTTCTACGTCGTCCGTTGGAAGTGGCTCATACTGCCAATCTCGCTTGTTCTTCTCACACCCATCTGCCTCCTGGCAGCAACATGGTCAAGCTGGACACACAAAGTGCCTGTCAGGGGCAACTCTCCATTGGCAGTGATGCAGTGCGTCATTCCCGAAGACTTGAAAGAGGAACTAGCGGCTGCTAGAACTCGGAGTACGATGCATAAGAGGGCAAAGAGAAGCGAGGTCCGATTGGTGGAGTGCGAGAATGGTATGTGGGCTTTTGAACGGTCGAGCGTGGACAAGGAGTAAATTGTCTTGAGAGGCGCGGAGAAGGAGAGAACGGCCTTGAGGGGAAGGGACTTTGCAATGGTTTTTGGATTATGTTTTGACGTCTCTCAGAATGTCTAGTGTGCGTCGCACCGTCTTAAGTCATTAGTCTTAAAAGATCGCTACAGAAATTGTTGCAATTCATCTCAAAGAACCGAAATAAAAATAAACACTGAGTAAAGGCGGAACTTAATACAAGGGCACGGACCAAACCATCCACAGACAAAGGTCACTCGAGCACTGGCGACCGATCAAAACTCTCTACAGTGTTAGATAGATCACCAAGGGTGAAGCAAGGCAACAGTGACTCCGCAACCTCTCATCCACTGCTCAGTGTTCCACAACTTTCCGCCTCAACTCGCACACCGATCCGGAGAAGTGCGAAGAACTTACCATCAATGAAATTAGCATACGCAATCTCGTTTTGTCCATCACCACCATGATCAATCGGTCTTCCTCCGCCGATCCTGATTCTCGCACTTTGATGCATATGTCAACGCCTTGCATCCCCGCCAACGACCGCGTACGCAACGTGCTGCACAACACAAGAACAAGGAGCTACGTCCTCGAGAGCGACATAAGCGTCACTGAGAATAGACTGTAGCGAGGAGGAAAGATGGCGACGAGAAGTGCGGCAAGTATGTTCGCCGGGTAGCGGAAGTGGGAAATGAAAGAGTTTGGGAATGTTGCCGGCAAGTAGAGCAATCAAGATGTTTCCACAATACATATACAAATACGAGAGGGAATTCTCTACGAAGTCTTCAGTTATAGAAGCACGGAAAGGGTTGGTTGGTGTTCGGATTCTTGCGTAGCTGAGAGGGGATCAATCCAAGACAGCAAAGCAACCCACAACACGTCCATCAATTGCACACCAGTAAATGCGCTGCACCCCTACGCACCTGCCTCTATATCCTTCTTCCTCTCCTCCCTTCACTTGCATCGACTTCGTCCTTAACGCGCAGTCAGGCAGCGTAGCCCTCGTCATGCATTCCCGCGCTAACCACATCCGACTAGCGCCATCTCCTCAACATCAAACGTCCGTAGAATCGACTCGCACCTCAGAATCGAATCGACTCACGCTTGGGAAATCGACTCACGCTTGGGAAATCGACTCAC